TGGGACTACAGGCACCCGCCAACAATACCCAGCTAATTTTAGTAAAGACAAGGTCCCACTCTTGCTCAGACCTGGTCTTAGACTCCTGAGCTCAGGCAATCCACCTGCCTTGGCCTCTCAGAGTGTGCTAGTTTTACAGATGTGAGCCACTGACCCCAGCTCTCCTATTTACATCTTAAAAGTACCACACACCTGACTGGTGGATGACAGCAGGAACAAGAAGAGAATTGGGGGGTGGGCACTATTGTGGCCCAGTAAGAGCTAGGGACATATGTTAAGGGTGATGAAGAGAAAGAAATGAAGCCATTCCCTATATTTTGGAGGTAGGGGGTGACAGAACTTGCTGATGGTTGGAAGTTGGAGAGAAGGAGGAATCTAGGATAGCTAGGGTTTTTTGAGCAGCTAGGTGGACAGTAGCGCATATATGAGACAGGAACAGATTTGGGGAGAAAAGCAGTCAGGAATTGACGTTTAGACTTGTTAGGTTTGAAATGCTTTAGGTTTGAGACATCTAAGTAGAGGCATCAAGAAGGTGGTTAGATGTGTAAATTGTTAAGAGAGAAGGTTGAGTTGAGGATACAAATTTGGGAGACATTGGCTTTTAGATGGTACTTTAACATCTAAACAGTGGGAGTAGATAAGACCTGCTGGGGGAGAAATTTTGGAAGAGTAGGCTGGGTGTGGTGGCTTACGCCTGTAATCCTGGCACTCTGGGAGGCTGAAACAGGGGGATTGCTTGAGCTTAGGAGTTCAAGACCAGCCTGAGTAAGAGCGAGACCCCATCTCTTAAAAATAACTGGGCATTGTGGCGGGCACCTGTAGTCTGAGCTACCTGGGAGGCAGAGGCAAGAGGATCACTTGAGCTCAAGAATTTGAAGTTGCTGTGACCTATGACGCCAGAGCACTCTACAGAAGGTGACAAAGTGAAACTCCGTAGATATATATATAGAAAGAAAAGGAAAGGGAAAGGGAAGAGAAAGGAAAGGAAAGGAAAGAATCCTCTAAGGAAATGGAGGTGACCGGAGAGCTGGGAGTAAAATCAAAGAGTGTGGTGTGTGGAAGCCCAGAGAAGAGTGTGTTTTGGTAATGGAAGGAGTGGCTGAACCCAGAGTTGCTGAGTGGTGGAGTAAGTTGAGGGAAGGAATGTACCTGTTAGCTTTGGACACATGGAGGTCATTAGAGACCTTGCTGAGGAGTTTTGATGGAATGGTAGGGAAAAAAGTCTTGTTGGAAAGAGTTAGAAAGTGAATGGAAGACGGGGATGAGGATGCAGGCAGAAAGAACACAGCAAGTTCTTGAGAAGTTTACCTGTGAAAGGAGCAGAAAAATATTAATAGTACAATAGCTGAAGGGGGATTCAAGGGAATATTAATTACTTTTTAAAATATTTAGTCTCTTGAATATCTACTTAATTTCACTGACAGCTCCTTATTTTTTTTTTTGTAGAAACAGAGTCTCACTTTGTTGCCCTTGGTAGAGTGCCATGGAGTCACACAGCTCACAGCAACCTTCAACTCCTGGGCTTAAGCAATTCTCTTGCCTCAGCCTCCCGAGTAGCTGGGACTACAAGC